GTCGACAACTTCACTTTAAACAGCAATTAATTCAGGAGCTAATTACTGGAGGACACGAAAAAGAATTAAAATAATTTAGGTGTTATACAAAGTTAACGATTACAGGAGGTTTAACTGTAAAGATCGTCATCATCGTTTCCTCCGACAGGAACTCCCGACGGCTGATTGGGCTGCTCCCCTGGGAATTTGAAGTTGTTCCCAAATCCTCTCTGTTGCTGCAGAGTTTGCGCGAACATCTCATACCTGAAGTTTGGTAATGAAAAAATGATCCATAATTCACTATCAAAATTGGTGTTGTACCATAAGATCTAAGATTTTGGTCGTTACACTAAGCAGTACATAAAGCACATACACGAGAAGATTTTTAAAGTAAAAGAGGCATTAACCACAGCCTTGAGTGCTAATCGCTGATGACGTTTTGAAAGTTGGAAATCCAAAAAAGTCCTCAAAAGACTTACTTTCTGATGTCATTATCAGATACGGATCTTCGAGCAAACTTCATGGCCTCCTCGAAATGTGCACGAGTGATTTCAGGCACTGGATCATAAGCCTCATCCTCCATGAGCTCCTCTCCGCGTGCACGTCGTTCCTGCCTATCTTTCTCAATCTTGATTTCCTTCTCAATCGACTCTCGGATGGCAAGTTTACACGCTCTGCAAACAGACATTCAACATAGCTCCACTAAGATTAAGCAAGCTTTGAAAAAAATTAAATTCTTCCTGACTAAATTCAAACATAAGTGCAACTGAATGTATAACAACGCAAGTCGACACCAATATATATACATGATATAATAAATGATATCACATTTGAAAAACTATTTCAAGAAATAACTCGACAGTAGCGAAAGGCTAAAGATAAGACATGAACACACCTTTGGCAGATTTCCGTAAGATCAGCACCAGAGAATCCCACAGTGCTCTTCGACAGGAATGTCATGTCCACATCCTTGGCTACAGGAGTCTTTCGAAGATTAGCCTAGAAAAATCTAATTCATTTAATCTTCATCTCGCAACACAACCTTGTTCTTACCTTGAAGATCTGAAGCCGAGATGCTTCATCAGGAAGTGGAATGTAAATCAACTGATCAAGACGTCCTGGACGAAGAATAGCAGAATCAATGATGTCTGGTCTGCAAACAATATTATGGGCTAGATGTTTTTTGATTTCACGATAAATTAATGTAGTGCGTCTACCTGTTGGTGGCTCCGATAATGAATACATTCTTTTTCGAGTTCATACCATCCATTTCGGTAAGGATTTGATTAATTACACGATCAGCCGCGCCACCAGCATCACCCGCAGTTCCTTAAACGTCAAAATGATCTCGCGAACCAAAAGTGAACGCTATAACAACTTCAGATTACAATAGAAGTAATAGAACTACCTCCACGAGCTTTTGCGATCGAATCCAATTCATCGAAGAATAGAACACAAGGTGCCGCAGCACGAGCCTTATCGAATACGTCACGCACATTAGCTTCAGATTCTCCAAACCACATGGTGAGAAGTTCAGGTCCCTAAAAATAATGAGAATACTGCTTAAGACTTCAAAAACCAAAAGAAATTTGAAAATGCTTCAAGTGAAAAAAACTAACTTTGATTGAGATGAAGTTAGCTTGGCATTCATGGGCGATCGCTTTAGCCAGCAATGTTTTACC